CATTTGGGCTAGAACGGCTCTATTTAGTGAGCACTAGGAAAGGCACATTGCAACCCGCTTTTCATAATTTTTTTATAGTTGGGTGAGCAATCTATAATATATGTATCATTGAACATCTCATAAACGCCAGTGGATGAATGACATTTCGATTAACATAAAGATTTATAATTATTATTATCAATTTTTTTTATTAATTTACATTTTTTAAATGTTATTGTAATACTTTTAAATTCAGTGTTACCAAATACCGATATTTTAACATTGGATACACTTGTTTAAGGTACAACTTTACAATTTATTGTCACTTAGCCATTTAAATTTTTTTGCTTAAAATGTATATGCATCTCCAGATTTTAATAATGTTTCACATTTTACGTCATTTTGACCATGTACACGATTGTTTGGTACGGGCCGGTATCTATTTTTAACTATATTTAATATTTAAAAAAATACCCTTTATTATTTACTTGCAATGTTTACCCCATTTAATTCTAAAATTAAACACTAGAGAGGGCTAAGTTCGGCAGTAGTGCTGCCTCTATATTTCACGCACGGTCCCTATAAACGTGCTGCCAACTCTTGCGAGATATCTCGTTTGTGGCCTGTGAATGAAGGTATCGTCATGCGATATATCTCGTCAGTGGCCTCTCAATAAGGGACACATTATGCGATATATCTCGTCCGTAGCACTAAATGGGTTAAAGAAAAATATCCTTTACGGTTGCGATATATCTGCATCTTCTCCTCCTAAAGGAAAATGAATAATTATATTTAACAGTAACATCCTATTTCATTGATCTAATATATATTGCAATGCAAACAAAACAGTATTTTTTTAATTAATACCTGGTGAAAGTATCCTAATATGTGTACAATCGATTGCACCACAGCTTTGTGGAAAACGTGCTATTCTGTAAAAGTCTTGAACCGTTCTTTCTAATTCTTGTCTAGTCTGTGGCATTTTAATAATATCTGGTCTTAAGGAAGCTATAGCAGAGCTAACTAATTTTATTATGCGAGAAGCTGAAGCCACAGATACTCCAACAAAATCTGATACACTCAATAAAACATTTCCAGTGGCATAAAAACGCAAGGCAAGTAAAAGTTTTGTTTCTGCCTTAATTGCGCCTCCCCTAAAAATATAATGATTATTTATCTGTGTGTGCCTGTGTCTTGAGCACATAATTAAGTATGTTTACTTGCCGATTAGTAACCGAAGAAATTTGATTTCTAATGTAATTTCAAACTTCCAAAGCAGCTTCCTTACTCAAGCGAAAACTATAAAAAAATTCATAATCTGTCCACACATCAAAGTAATCGATTCGCCGTTTGTATATTTTTGGACGACGAATTCTATAGTCCTCATAATTATCAGAATCGGTAGAAAATGCCGAGTCCGATGTATCCATTATTTAACAACAAAATAATTCTCCTGTCAAACTCAAAAGTTTAACATTTAAAAAGTAAGGTTAAAGTCGCTATAAAGTGATAGAACACATCACTTTAAATGTAAAGTCACATACTTTGATTACTATACGGGGCAAGAGAGAGGTCCGACACGCCCAACATAGGGCGCGGCCATTTTGAACCCTATGACACAGTTTATAGCTAAAGAATCAGATCACTCACTCTGCGTCGGCACTTTTTATCTCAATGTTCCAGTTTATACACTGCGCAACTCAGATAATACAATATATGACAACCGCCCATAATAAAACAGCAGTCTTTTGCGTATCCTGAATTTGTATCCCTGGAGTGGATGCTATTTTGGAACTTTCAACTGGTCCGAGTGAGCTAACTGATTCTTTAGCAATAAACTGTGACTCCAAAAATAATATTCACTGACACTGACAGCAGCAAACAAAATATCAGGTGCGTTTTTATCATTCGCTTCTGCTTCCGGAATTGTCAGTTCAGTCGTTCTAACCTGTCAGATTAAAACAAGAAAACCGACAATTCCGAAGCAGAAGCGGATGATTAAAACGCACCTATTAAAAATATTGCGCCAAGATGTAGGCAACACGTAATAAGGGTTTAAAATGGCGGAGTTTTCTCTCCTTTTAAAAGGCACTCAGAAAGCTGCGCAGTGCGACCATTCTCCGTATAGTAAAAGAAAATCAAAGTATGTGTGTAAAGTGCCTTTAGATCTTAAAGTTGACTTATGAAATTGGATATGAACACTAAAGTGGTAAAGTGACTTTAAAATCTATTATTAAAACGGCCGTAAACTATAAAATAAATGTCCAAAACTTAAAACACTAATAATTTATATTGGTTAATATGGGAAAAAAATTATTTCACAAGAACTTATCTTTTTAAAAATTAAGTCGAGATACAACTGATACAAGTTAAAACAAAAAACGAACTGACTAATGAATTTAGATTAGGGATGACACTTTGGAACAGGATCTGTTTTTCCGAAACAAGTTTAATTTTGGAACATGTTACAGCCCTTTGTATATTACAAGTTTGTATTCTATACTTATGTATTCTGGGCTAGCTATTTGTTACGAGAGCGAAAAGGGGTTCATGCACCCAATTAAAACAAAACTTGCGGTGCATACATTTATTGGATAGACAATCTGTCTGGTTAGTTTCTAGCTTATCGTGATATTTGGTGACATTAATTTTATATACAAGGGATACCCAGTACCGAGGGTTGCCCCAATTGGACCAATTGGTTCACACAGAACCGTAAGTTAATATATTTACACTACATAAATTTTAGGTACAATTATTATCACACAAACAGTTTAATGATGAATTATTTTCGTTTCAGCTCAACCACCAGTAACAAAAATACAATAAAACTGGAAAATTCTTACTTGCAATCAATATCCAGGCTCAAGATGCAGGCACTAAACAGCAGGCAGGCTCTAGCGGATGAAACAGAGCTGGTAAAATAGGACGAATAGCAAATAAGCAACATGAAGGAAATAGCATCAACAGCGCTGGAGGACTGCGGCAAGCAACAAGCAGCATGCATTAAGATCTTGAATTCTATCTGATGTGCCAGCAACGTCACCTTGAGTGTTACTTATAATCAGTTAAGTAGTTTTTTTCAATATAAGTAAGTCTAAGAAAATAGAACGAAGAGTAAAAGCATAGAATAAGAGTAGGAGAAAAAGAAAAAGGCCTAAAAATAAAGAAACAGAATGTAAAATAGGTATAGGGTATTGTACATTTCACGAGGTACTTACCGAAGTTGGGGATCGGCCTTGGGAAATTCAAAGGTTTAAATTGAATTACGGGAAATCCACTTATAGTGCAAATTTTCAACAGAAAACTAGTAATTCAAATTTAACCAGTTTATTTTTGTTTCAGAGTATAAAATCCGTAAAACGATAACTGCAACCAGCACAAGATATACCCAAAAAAAAAACAATTTCCACAAAAACTAGAGGAAAAAATCAAGCTTCTAGAAGTTCCTCTCCCAGACCAAAAGCTTATACCATTTAAGACAATTAGTCACCTTCCAATAAGTGAAATTACTTAAGATACCCAAGGACTAAAATAAAAGAAGAAGTACTTAGGTTGACATAGCAGATTGGAACTACCTAACCTATATAACAATGTACAAACAATTTTTGTAAACAAATCAATTATCTACTTATTTATATCAGGAACTGAGAGTATGGAATGACTGAAGTTGTAAATAAAGTTTGTAAATATGGTTTGCTTTTTAATTTAAGTAAGTTACTTATTTATTTTAATTAGACTTTCTGATTTGAAAATATTGTTGCGGTGAAACCGTAACAAACAGTTTCAAACAGGTACGGATTGATAGGTTTTCCTGTTCCGGTGGAGCAGATAGATAAAGGTGGTACAAAATGGTGTTAATTATTAACTGTTCCTGACTGTTCTATTGCTTTTCAACAGTTTCAGGTGTTGCGCATAAGACGCGACACAGACGGAGGACTGAACGTTAGCGCCGCTGCCTACCGTAGCGGTATGTTTCGTTCGTTCTTGTTCCAAAGAACAGTGACGAATAAACAGAACAACTATTTTCCATCTGTAGTCAGAGTCGATTATTATTTACCCTTCCAGCTGTGCTGCTGCAGTGAATAGTGCATGCGCATGAACGTGAACTGGCATGGCTTGCGCGATGTTGTCGATGTTTGATAATTTGTAAGAAAATAGAGAAAATAAATAAAACACAATGCACAAAAAAGATACATAATTCTAAAATATATAAAATAAAAACTGTCCATAGTATCAGTATAGCGGAAATATTTGTAAAAAACACAGTATAATGGAAATATTTACAAAAAACACTCAACAGAAAAACACGTAGTAAACTGGGGTAACTTTGGTACGAATTTTTATGTTTTTTCAAAATTAAACTTGAACTTGTGAAAGTAACGGCGCTTAAGCTATTAACTATTAAAGCCCCGATATTTCCAAATCCAAGTTACTATATAGACATGATTTGTTTGTGATGTATGTTGAGATATTAAGCCCTAAAAGTGTCCCAAAGTAACCATGCCATTTGGGGTAACTTTGGTACGCTGGCCTTTTATATGAATATTTTAACGTTATAGGCCTTTGTCCTAAAGATGGACATTGCATTTAATTCTTGGAAGAAAGAGCAACCCAAAAATATATATTTTGTCATGTTTTAAATTCAGAAATATGTTATCTTATAGATACAGAAACGTACAGGTAAACCTTAAAAAATAAAAACCCTTTGGTATTTGAAAATAGGTAGTTAAGTACAAACTAAAACACGGTAACTTAAAAAATGAAGTTTAGACAGTCTTACAAATACATTTTATGCTAGATTATTGACTTCTGGAACATCAAAAACCTCTCGATGGCCTCGGCGTTCTGGTTCCTTTATTGACATTAATATTTCCCTATCGCTATAAAATATTTCGGTCTTTGCGGGATGGCCATTTCCACTGTTTTCCATAGGGCGTCATAACATTTACAATCGCTCCGTTGCTAACGACTTTCGTTATTTGGCCAGGGTAATATTTGTTGTCGTAAATAACCAAAACCTAATTTCCAACACTTTTGGTTTCCACAAAAAATGCTGATTTTTTGACTTCCTCTTCTGGTTCTGGATCATCTGAAAGGTCCGGGTTGAAAGGGCTATCATCACTTTCTGCGTATTGTACACTCTCAATGCTATCATCTGTGCCCTCTGAATCGCTCTTTGGCCTTTTAGGTTTTTTCTTATTTACTTCTTCAATTAAAGGTAGACTATCATTCGAATCTGAACCCTGAAGAGTTTCTTGGATGCTCGTGCTCTGAAGTCCAGATGTGGAGGGCTGCGAAATGTTGGAAGGCTCACTGGTATTCAGTACATCAGACACTTTTATTCCTTTACCAGCCTTGTTCGGCGTTCATTTAAAATATTTCTGGCTTTAGAAAATAACCGTTCACATGGCACAGAGGTGGCTAATGCGCAACATCTAGCGCGTATCAAAGGACTTAAATACGGGCAATTATGTTCGTTTTTCCTCCACCACTCTAAAGGATTTTTATTTCGACTAAGGACTTCATCCTCTAAATACCTTTGAAGTTCAATTATAGCTCTCGAAGCTTGCAGTAATTTTGGAATTAAATTGTAAAACACTTTTATCCAATAAGTTCCACAAGGAATACTTTGCTTTATTTTGTTCTGTCCCATCTGTCTCTATCTCTGTCAATACCGGAACTGGGGATTCGCTTGCCGTTGATGTACTAGGCACAGGCTCAGATTCACGAGTTTCACTTTGGGCATTAATAATTTCTGTAAGGGCAGTAATTACGACCAGGGGCGGCTCGTGACCAAAATTTTGGGGGTTCACAGTAGCAGAATATAGATTCCGGTACAGATATAGGTAAAAAACTGTCAGTGTTTTAGAAAGGTATGTTATAAACTTTCTAAAACACTGAAAGTTTTTTTATACATCTCTTACTGATAGCTATATTCTGTCACTGTAAAACACCTCACGAGCCACCACTGATTACGACTTTTTTAATTTTTTCAACGGCATCGTTGTTTTAAAAACAAAAGATTTAAATTTGGGATCTGGGAGTGTGGATATGGGTAACGTATTACTATATTCTACATTACCTAACCTTGACCGAAGACCGTTCTAGTAGGAGAGCCCAAGATGCTAAATGGGGATTTACTCGAGCGTCATAGAGACCTATTGGGTTGCAAAGCTTAGATGATAAGAAGAAAAAAATGTCATATAATATATACCTTTTCATCGGTGGGGGAAGCGGCTATAGATTTTTAAATACCCTAGCATACCCGCATTGGAACTATGTAGTTGCAATGTGGTTCTGATATGGTACGCCCATCTCCAGACAATATTTAAATAACTATAAGGTATTTATCTGGTTTCGAGATTGATTTCCCTTCATTTGTTATTTATGGGTTTCCCATATTGAAACCATATTAGAAACCTATCATAATCCTATATTTTTTTATGTGGTATGGTATTTATTTGGTTTTGATATTGGTTTTCCTTCATCTGTTATTTATGGTTTTCCGATATTAAAACCATATAAGAAACCGATCATAATCCTTTTTTTTTAGTGATATGGTATTTATCTGTTTTTTATATTGGTTACCCTTTATTGGTTACCCTTTATTGGTTACCCTTTATTGGTTACCCTTTATTGGTTATTTATGGTTTTCCCATATTAGAAACCGATCATATTCTATTATTTTTTTATTTGATATGGTATTTATCTGGTTTTGATATTGGTTTTCCTTCATCGGTTATTTATGGTTTTCTCATATTAAAACCATATTAGAAACCGATCATAATCCTTTTTTTTATGTGATATGTTATTTATCTGTTTTTTATATTGGTTACCCTTTATTGGTTACCCTTTATTGGTTACCCTTTATTGGTTATTTATGGTTTTCCCATATTAAAACCATATTAGAAACCGATCATAATCTATTATTTTTTTTTTATTTGATATGGTATTTATATGATATGGTATTTATCTGATTTTGATATTGGTTTTCCTTCATCGGTTATTTATGGTTTTTTCATATTAAAATCATATTATAGAAACCGATCATTATCCTTTATTTTTTATGTGTCCATGCAACAGTATTTTGTTACATATATGGACATACTCGAGCGCGTCAGATATTGATAGCATCAAAGTCCTACGTATTTTTAATAATGTACCTACCTATGTTAATCTGATCGTTTGCTTGATGCAGGTGTTTGTACGTAAGGGTTGAAAAAAATTAATCGATCGCGTCAGATTTTCTAAGCTCTAATTCAATAATCTGATGATTATTATAATGTGCAAAAAATTCGCAATTTTGAAATACTCAAGCGCGTCAGATTAAGATACATATGGTTCATATTTATGTCCTAGACGTGCTGTCTCATAATCTGACGATTATCTAGAGGGATTCGCCTAATCTGACAAATTTTTTTTTAATCATTGAACTTAATTAATTGAAAAGCTCAGGAAATAGCATGCAAATAAAAAACTGTAGGTTTTTTAAGTAGAATACTACTTGTATTTATAAGAAAATAATAAAAAAAAATTAATTTTTTATAATTAATTGATTAATCATCATCTTCATCAGTAGAACATCTTCCTCTTCTGGCTCGATTTCATCCTCAGATTGCGTATCTGTAACAAAAAATCATTAAAACATTTAACAATATTTTTTTTATGAATAACGTGTTTTTTTAATTATTGGAAAAAGAAATATCTGATTCTGGAGTATCCTCAAGAATATCAGGTGACTACATCTTCGTATGCTTTCGGCAATTGATCACCTGCAAACCAGATTATTTTGAATTTTCCGTCGACAACTTTCCATCCATACTCCGTTGGTAAAAGATCAATAATTTTTGCATTACGGGCATTTCTCTACATGCGTGTGTGTGTGTGTGTGTGTGTGTGTGTGTGTGTGTGTGTGTGTGTGTGTGTGTGTGTGTGTGTGTGTGTGTGTGTGTGTGTGTGTGTGTGTGTGTGTGTGTGTGTGTGTGTGTGTGTGTGTGTGTGTGTGTGTGTGTGTGTGTGTGTGTGTGTGTGTGTGTGTGTGTGTGTGTGTGTGTGTGTGTGTGTGTGTGTGTGTGTGTGTGTGTGTGTGTGTGTGTGTGTGTGTGTGTGTGTGTGTGTGTGTGTGTGTGTGTGTGTGTGTGTGTGTGTGTGTGTGTGTGTGTGTGTGTGTGTGTGTGTGTGTGTGTGTGTGTGTGTGTGTGTATGTGTATGTGTATGTGTATGTGTATGTGTATGTGTATGTGTATGTGTATGTGTATGTGTATGTGTATGTGTATGTGTATGTGTATGTGTATGTGTATGTGTATGTGTATGTGTATGTGTATGTGTATGTGTATGTGTATGTGTATGTGTATGTGTATGTGTATGTGTATGTGTATGTGTATGTGTATGTGTATGTGTATGTGTATGTGTATGTGTATGTGTATGTGTATGTGTATGTGTATGTGTATGTGTATGTGTATGTGTATGTGTATGTGTATGTGTATGTGTATGTGTATGTGTATGTGTATGTGTATGTGTATGTGTATGTGTATGTGTATGTGTATGTGTATGTGTATGTGTATGTGTATGTGTATGTGTATGTGTATGTGTATGTGTATGTGTATGTGTATGTGTATGTGTATGTGTATGTGTATGTGTATGTGTATGTGTATGTGTATGTGTATGTGTATGTGTATGTGTATGTGTATGTGTATGTGTATGTGTATGTGTATGTGTATGTGTATGTGTATGTGTATGTGTATGTGTATGTGTATGTGTATGTGTATGTGTATGTGTATGTGTATGTGTATGTGTATGTGTATGTGTATGTGTATGTGTATGTGTATGTGTATGTGTATGTGTATGTGTATGTGTATGTGTATGTGTATGTGTATGTGTATGTGTATGTGTATGTGTATGTGTATGTGTATGTGTATGTGTATGTGTATGTGTATGTGTATGTGTATGTGTATGTGTATGTGTATGTGTATGTGTATGTGTATGTGTATGTGTATGTGTATGTGTATGTGTATGTGTATGTGTATGTGTATGTGTATGTGTATGTGTATGTGTATGTGTATGTGTATGTGTATGTGTATGTGTATGTGTATGTGTATGTGTATGTGTATGTGTATGTGTATGTGTATGTGTATGTGTATGTGTATGTGTATGTGTATGTGTATGTGTATGTGTATGTGTATGTGTATGTGTATGTGTATGTGTATGTGTATGTGTATGTGTATGTGTATGTGTATGTGTATGTGTATGTGTATGTGTATGTGTATGTGTATGTGTATGTGTATGTGTATGTGTATGTGTATGTGTATGTGTATGTGTATGTGTATGTGTATGTGTATGTGTATGTGTATGTGTATGTGTATGTGTATGTGTATGTGTATGTGTATGTGTATGTGTATGTGTATGTGTATGTGTATGTGTATGTGTATGTGTATGTGTATGTGTATGTGTATGTGTATGTGTATGTGTATGTGTATGTGTATGTGTATGTGTATGTGTATGTGTATGTGTATGTGTATGTGTATGTGTATGTGTATGTGTATGTGTATGTGTATGTGTATGTGTATGTGTATGTGTATGTGTATGTGTATGTGTATGTGTATGTGTATGTGTATGTGTATGTGTATGTGTATGTGTATGTGTATGTGTATGTGTATGTGTATGTGTATGTGTATGTGTATGTGTATGTGTATGTGTATGTGTATGTGTATGTGTATGTGTATGTGTATGTGTATGTGTATGTATGTGTGTGTGTGTGTGTGTGTGTGTGTGTGTGTGTGTGTGTGTGTGTGTGTGTGTGTGTGTGTGTGTGTGTGTGTGTGTGTGTGTGTGTGTGTGTGTGTGTGTGTGTGTGTGTGTGTGTGTGTGTGTGTGTGTGTGTGTGTGTGTGTGTGTGTGTGTGTGTGTGTGTGTGTGTGTGTGTGTGTGTGTGTGTGTGTGTGTGTGTGTGTGTGTGTGTGTGTGTGTGTGTGTGTGTGTGTGTGTGTGTGTGTGTGTGTGTGTGTGTGTGTGTGTGTGTGTGTGTGTGTGTGTGTGTGTGTGTGTGTGTGTGTGTGTGTGTGTGTGTGTGTGTGTGTGTGTGTGTGTGTGTGTGTGTGTGTGTGTGTGTGTGTGTGTGTGTGTGTGTGTGTGTGTGTGTGTGTGTGTGTGTGTGTGTGTGTGTGTGTGTGTGTGTGTGTGTGTGTGTGTGTGTGTGTGTGTGTGTGTGTGTGTGTGTGTGTGTGTGTGTGTGTGTGTGTGTGTGTGTGTGTGTGTGTGTGTGTGTGTGTGTGTGTGTGTGTGTGTGTGTGTGTGTGTGTGTGTGTGTGTGTGTGTGTGTGTGTGTGTGTGTGTGTGTGTGTGTGTGTGTGTGTGTGTGTGTGTGTGTGTGTGTGTGTGTGTGTGTGTGTGTGTGTGTGTGTGTGTGTGTGTGTGTGTGTGTGTGTGTGTGTGTGTGTGTGTGTGTGTGTGTGTGTGTGTGTGTGTGTGTGTGTGTGTGTGTGTGTGTGTGTGTGTGTGTGTGTGTGTGTGTGTGTGTGTGTGTGTGTGTGTGTGTGTGTGTGTGTGTGTGTGTGTGTGTGTGTGTGTGTGTGTGTGTGTGTGTGTGTGTGTGTGTGTGTGTGTGTGTGTGTGTGTGTGTGTGTGTGTGTGTGTGTGTGTGTGTGTGTGTGTGTG